CCCCCCCCCCGAACACCCTTAGCTGTACATTTACACCAATCTATTTAAGTGTGTACAGGCAAATCTGGGGGAATTATTTACAGTTTTGTCAGTTGTGAAGCAGGTTGATGCGTTTGTAAGAGCTTGCTGTCGTGAGTTTGCTGTTGTCTCATTCAGACACTCTGCGATAGAAGTAAAGATAACCCAGATCTTTGGGAGGTTTCTCTGAAGCGCAGACCTTCTGATCATTGAAGATGACCCACCTGTCAACCACAAAGAAAACTTTTTAAAACGCTGCAGTTGTTGGAGTACTTTAAGACTGCTTCTGACATGAAGCTGTGTAAGATTTATTTTGGACTTGGGGTTCTGCTGCCCCCTGCTGTAGCAATGAAGCACAATCTGACTGTGTTTTATCATTACTGACTCGACGGTCAGAACAAATATTTGTCAGATGTGGCTTTTATTTTTATTTTTTAGACATTTTTCAAAGTTTTAACAGTTGTGTCTTTCTTAATAGGGGACATATACCGCCATCATCATCATCATCATCATCATCAACTTTATTTATAAAGCACCTCAACACCAGCCACAGCTGAACTAAGTGCTGAACATCAGCAAAAAAATAAAAAATAAAAAGAAGATAAAAACAGATAAAAATTTAAAATAAAAATAAAAGAAGATAAAACAGACCAAGGGTTAGAACCAGCAGGATAACAAACAGAACTGACAGCGAGAGACGGCCTGCCACGTACACCGACGCCATCTTATCTCTCATTCATTTTTGAGCCAAATCCACTTTTTTTAGCTCTTTACTACTTTATATGAACAAGACTGCCTATATTTCATAAGGTTTATATTTTTATACAGTATACATTTTTCCTTAAATTGTTCAAATTTTATTTTAATTTAGAGTTTCTTTAATATCCAATTATTTATTTTTACTTGAGGGATCAATGAAGTATTTGGAGTCTGTAGGAGTGCAGAAAAGTTGAATTTGTGCTGCATAGATATCTTTATATTCTGTTTGAGTCATATTTTTCAACACGTTCAGTTTTCTCTATCCCCTGTTATGTTTTCTGAACAATAATATCACAGTATTTGCTGCAGAACTTAAAGAAGGTCATGGATATCCAGCTAACTAACTTTGTGAATCAACAGTCCTGCAGGTTGGTGATCTTTATTCTCCTCTGGCTCTGGGTCAGACTCTGGCTCTGGGTCAGACTCTGGCTCTGGGTCAGACTCTGGCTCTGGG